TATGTTGTTTCTTTTCATGTCGTCCCATATAACTCTTAGGTTCTCTTCATTTCTCTTAAATCTTTGTTCTGATTTTTCTTCATACAGGCTGGTGTCCAGGATTTGTCTTCTAGTTGGGATATGCATTCTTTAGCCAGTTCTATTCTATTCATTTGTGCTTCTACTATATTATGTAATTCTGTAATTTTGGTATTCTTCTTCTGCATTTCTAACTGCTGTTTTTGTATGAGTCCTGGTTGTGCATTAATCTTGTTTATTTGTTCTTGAATGATTTTCTTGAGTTCTTCCAGGGAACTGTCTTTGTTCTCTTTGTTTCTGTTTGGGGTTTCCTTAGACTCTTGTAAAGCTCTATAAACATATCTTCTAAATACCTTGTCAGGTAATTTTTTTGCCTCCTCTTCCTCCATGTTTAATGAGACCTTTGTTTGTGATTTTGCTTCTAATGCCTTGGCCTGTTTTTTCATTTGATTTGAGGTTGCCTGTTGTTTCCTAGACATTTTGAGGTTGTCTTTAACTGTTGGTTATGTATTGATTTGTTTTGTCTTGGTTTTATGATTTAATAGGTGAAGCTGGTGGGTTTTTTTGGTTATTAATTCAGGTGTGCTGGGTTGCTTTGCAGTTTTCTTTGTGATGATGGAATCACTGTGTATAATGTGGATATAGGTCTCTATTTGTCATAAAGAGGGTTTAGAATTCAAACTTGGGGGTATTATGGTGGGTGAATGTGATTTTTTTTTATTGGATGAGTGAGGGTATTGGTGGAGGTGGTGGGGTGGAAGAGAGAAAGAAGGGAAGCTCCATGTTGCTAGGGGCAGTTTCTAGGGCTTTGAGTGGGCTGCTAATGATAACGATGTACTGTTATTCACAGGCCCACAGTTCAAGTTCAGCAAGTTCCAGTTCTAGTTGTTAGGGAGTCGCCACTTTCTGCCAGACACAAGCACACACAAAAACCCTGCTCTCAGGGCCCCTCCGGGTCAAAAAGCTGACCCAAGACAACTGGCCCACACTGTAATCTGCCATAGAAGTTCCTCCCAGGGCCCACACACTTGTGGCACTGGCTCATACCATGACCCACTGTGGGAGTTCCCCCTAGGGCCAACACACTTGCGGCATCAGTGTCTCTCCACTTGGGTTTCGGGGTGCTGGGGGGAGGGAAATGTCTGCTCACACCCAGCGGACCCAAGATTACCAACAAAGTCAAGCACCGGTCCCACTGTGCCAAAAAGCTGGCCCGAGCCCTTTCTCATGATCTGCTGCAGGAGTTCCTCCCAGGGCCCACCCACTTGCGGCGTTAATGGTCTCTGCTCAGGTTTCAGCAGTGCTGGAAGTGCTCGCTCACACCCAGCAGACTCAAGTTTTCTGATAAAACCAGGTGCTGAAGGTAGAGCCATTGGGTGAGCACTGGAATACTGTGTGGTGCATCTTCTTCTGATGGCTCTTCTTGCCTGCCGGTCGGTGCTCCCCCACGAAGTTCTCCAGTGGCCTTTCTCTCCTGCCAGTTGGCGCTCTGCATGGCAGACTCCCCTCTTTTGTTATTTTTCCCCTGCCCTTTTCTCCTTTCTAATCCTACTCTCCTGAGTTTGGCACACTCTGATTCAGTGAGCTGTTCAGAGTATCAGAATCCCTATTTCAAATTGCTGCACCTAGTTTTTCAGGCACTAAGTTGCTAGAGGGAATTAACATGGGGATTACTGACCAGACACCATTTTGCCTCCCAGTCCTGCGTTCATTTCCTCCTCATAGTATGCCTATAAGGTAGGTATTGTTCTGTCCACATTGCAGATAGAACACTGATATGCAGGAAAGTGAAATAGCTATTAATTCATACAGTTGACATTTAACTCAGGCTTTTCCTTACTCCACAACCTAACAATAAAGTTGAAAACTACCTTTCTGGAATGATAAATACCATTGCCTTAAGTACTGTCCAGTTTGATAGGAATTTTCAGACTTAATTTCTAAATCATA